GGTGGAGATTCCCCGTGGGCGTGCGTGTTGCCGGCCGTGTGTCTGTTGTTCTCACTGATTCCCCTCAGCACCTCAAACACTTAATGCTTAGTGTGTAGGAAAGACTCAGGTAGTATTTGTGGAGCAAATAGAAAATTTCTGGGTCAGGAGTCAGGAAGTCTAGATCTTTCTTATGTAAAAAACAGCCAGACCGCTTGGGGGCCAGTCTCCGAGCTTGATGCGAAACACAACTTGCTTTATTTTTTTATTTATTTGAGACAGAGCCTCGCTATGTGGTTCAGGCTGGCCTTGAATATGGCGGGATCCCCCTGCCTCAGCCTCCCAAGTGCTGGGATGACAGGCGTTCGCCGCTTCGCCCAGCTTGTCCAAAGTATAGAGGAGCTCTTCATTATGGTAGTTACAGTGGGGCCCTCAACAGCTGTCCCATAAGGAGCCTGGAATTGCAAATGAAACGTCACACCCAACAAGACTTGTAAGAGGCAACTAGTGAGGGTTGAGGATGTAGGGCTGGGTGTACCTCATTGATAGAGCATTTGCCTTGCATGTGTAGCCCTGGGTTCCGGCCCCAGCCCTGCACAAAAAAGGGAAGAAGTGAGGAAGTGTAATCAGACTTGTGTCTAGGACTTCCTTGGACTTGTATACCCATTTAAGAAGCCGTGAAGTCTGAGACCTGGGGGTGTAGCATAGTGGATAAACACCTGCTAGTGCTCTCAGCACCACCTGCCTCAAGATTTTACCTGTTTAATTTTTGGAATTTGAATCCTGGCTTCCTCCTTAGTCCTGTGGGTCACACTCCCTGCCCTTGGTTTTGTATCTTAGTCATAAAAAAAGTAACAGTTTTATTAAGTGTGTCTCGTTGAGGGCTTGTATTGTGTTTCAAAAGTTTCTACTTTGTTTCCTGGCTACTTCCCAGAAGAAGCTTGAAACCCCAACTCTGAAAACTACATTCTACCTAAGATAGTTAAAGCCAAAAACCAAACCAAGGGTGGTGGCCACGCCTGTGATCCCAGCACTCAGGAGGCTGAAGGAATTCAAGACCAGCTTTAACTATGTAGCAAGACCCTGTCTCAAACAAAACAAAACATGCATGCTAGGAGGGGGAGATAATTATACCAGATACTAGAGATTGCACAGGATCAAAATAATGGTGATGATGATGATGATGATGATGATGATGATGATGATGATGATGATGACGATGATGATGATGATGACGATGATGATGATGATGACGATGATGATGATGACGATGATGATGATGATGACGATGATGATGATGATGACGATGATGATGATGATGACGATGATGATGATGATGATGATAGTAAAGAAAGCTGTTCCCAGGATGCTTCCATTCTGGAGAAGACCCGGTCCCGTGTCCCCCCCC